TTTCCTACCCTACGTTTGGTTGGACTCCTGGGTTCTTCCTGTTTTTCTGGGAACATTAGTTCCCTTTCTGTTGGGTATAACAGCTTCTTAGACTCCTTTGTAAACCTGATTGTCTGTCTGGAGATATCTGCTCATCCTGTCCTTCCCTACACTGAGGTCGCCAGACAAGAGGGACAAGGTCTACACCATGGCCACAAAAAGAATGGGGTTCTTGTTTCTTCTGATGCTGCCCCTGATGAACAGTGAGTACAAGAAATAGTTCCTGCCTTTCTCTATACTCTCCCCCTGTATGTTTGATTATTGCACACATCTTCATCCCCATTCTGACTTTATTTATATGAAGCCAAATTGGATACAGTGGGATTTAAAGAAAATACATTTATTAATATGAAACATTTGTAGACCACATTTGTAACACATCACAAAGTGGTTAATAGTTAAACATTTTTTAAAGACAAAATAATGAAGCCGTTTAAAACAAAGGAGTACAATCAAAATTACCCAAATTACAGAAAAGTCAGAAGAAAATGAGACCCAAGGGCAACACACCATGTCACTCAAATGCCTGCCAGAAGAGAAGGGTGTTACATCCTTTCTGGAGCTATACAGCTGCAAATAAAACCTTTAAAGTGTGTTTTAAGTGCAGTATACAATGTGACACTAGATGGTGATGGTGAGCCTTATGGATAATTCAATGTATTTTTAAAAACATTGCTTTTTTATTATTAAAAAATGCATTTTCAGAATGGCTTTTATATGCGTGTGTGGAATCCCCCTTGGTAAAGGAGTTTGTTAACATTTTATTTAGTATTTGTTTTTCAGCTATGAACATAATTCTTGTCCAGCGCATCTGAATATGTTGAATGCATAGGGGAACAAAACCATCGTAGCACAGAAGCATGGGACACATTTCAAACCTTTCCCGTTTATTTTTTAAAAGTAAATATTTATAACAAAAGAAATAGTTATAACTATTAAGAACAACATTTCCAGTTGAGAAGATCTCTTGTGCAAATAAATCTTGAAATACTATACCCTCTTCAAAAAGTCAACAGAAAGGAAATATTTCGGGCACAGTTTGGTAGTGAAGATCAGCTGGCTGAGGGACAATATGATTTGGCAGAAGCCCAACTGTGGTGGTGGAATATCAGCTACAGAGCCATCATGACAGGGATCATTCTCAGGATCGGGGAGGAAAGGGCCATTTAAAAAATAAATAAAAATAAAGCAAATAAACATGCACCTAGATTGTAAGGGGTTAAAATACCATTAATTCAGAACTTTTTAACAATTTCTCTTTATATATACACACATTATGTGTGTGTTGGATAGGGAAACCGGTCATTTAGTACAAATTAAACACCAGAGAAGGTAAATTATCACTGAAACACACCGGCAATGGTTTCTATGCTTTAGCCTAAAGTTTTTGTGTTCTCTCTTTTAAAATACTGTTGTACATCTGATGACCAACTGGAAAATACAACCTAATCCGGTTATATACTGTTGTGTTATGAGAAGACACTTGGTGATATGAAAGTCCTGTCTCTGGTGGTATTAAATCAGGGATGAATTAATTGTCAGATGGGGATTGTCACTAGCAGTGGCAGAGGAAGCCGTGAGGGCGCCTGGGGTGAGGGTGGGGTGAGGACGGGGCGCACTGCGGGGGCCTCCAAGGCGTCTGCCTGCCTCTTCCCACTCAGCCGCCCTACAGTTGAGGGGGAGGCAGCGGGCGGACCAGTGGGCAGTGTGGAGACTGTGGGGGCCCAAGCCACTGCGTCTCTCCCAGGAGTGTGAGTGCCGCCTGGCATTTTGTCACCCTCCTCAGTGGTGACACCTGGGGTGGCCTGCACCCATTGCACCCTCCTTCCTCCACCCCTGGTCACTGGACTGTGTAGTGATTAAGCAATGAATGAGCAAGTATGGTCCTACTGAAAGGGCATTCCTTGTGCTGGGAAGTGTCTCTAGCGTTTTCCCACGAGCCCCTTAGAATAGGGGAGTGATGTTTTTAACCAGGGTTGTGGGATGGTACATGGGGGCACAGCTAGGCTGCAGTGGAAAACTTTATCTTTTTCCAAATCATGGTTGTGTTGAAAGAGTGTTGTGTGACAGTGGCGTGGGGAGTACATGGTGAAGTAAAACACTGAAAGAGGAGAGCAGGCCAGTCCCTCACAAAAATGGAAAAGAATAGCGCTGGTACATTTTGTTTCATATCTTGTTCTATAGAAACTTATTCCTTTTATTCCTGGAATCTGGGGTTATATTTATGGGGGTGGGGAGCAAGGAAACTACTCCCTCCCCTTCTTTGTGGGCACCCATGCATGGATGAAGAGTTCAGATTTTCTTTTTAAAGCACGATGCTGAAGCCTAAAAATGGCCTGGAAGCGACACTCTCAGAGCTGAAATGCCATTTCCTTGAACGTCTCTATGCCTGCAATTTGGTGACAGCTGCTCTGTGGTGAGGAAAAGGCACTTTGCATGTTGTCAGGAGAACAGTCGTCTTCTGGTGGCTCTGCTAAGCCCTGCCACTGAAAAGGGATTGTGGCAAACTCTGTATGGATGTACATGCGAGAAACTTTCTGCTTCGATGTTTCCGATGCTGTCTTAGATACTGCATTGGATGATTTGTTGCAGATATTAATATTGCATAGTTTTGAAGTGACTGGAAGCATAAGAACTGACTCCTTCTGGAATAAATTACTGTCCAGGCCCATAAAAATATTATTTAAAATTTTACTGCCACGGCTCTTTAAAATGAAGCAGAATACAGTAAGTGATTCCTCCAAAACACCCATGCAATGTCTTGTGCTGTCCAGCACAGGCTCAGCATCTTACAAAATATGAAATAATCCAGACCAACCTAGGAGCAAAGGTCTCTCCTTCTCCACAGTCTGCATTCCAGCCTTCAGGCTGTTTATTCTCCCTTCAGGAGAACTTCATTTACATCTTCACTCCACTGAGTTTGGGAGACAACAACAACAACAACTTATTTATACCCCGCCCATCTGGCTGGGTTTCCCCAGCTACTCTGGGCAGCTCCCAATAAAACATTAAAAACTTCCCTAAACAGGACTGCCTTCAGATGTTCTCTAAAAGTCAGGTAGTTGTTTATTTCCTTGACATCTGATGGGAGGGAGTTCCACAGAAAACTCCCTTCAAAATGGAAATTTTGCAACCTAATACCTCTCACATGATCTAAGGTTACAACACCCTCATGTTAACTACCAGTGGACAACAATCCATTAGTTAATGACTAACTTAGCAAGAGCTCTAAGTGCTCTCCTTGGTTTTAATATAGCCCCATGGAAAACCCCATGTTAAACCTTTTCGCCAATACACAGCTAGGCATTCTCACTTAAAACCTTCATTAATAAACATACACTTTTCATTTCTGTGTGAATTAAATCCATTATACTTAACAGGATTGGTCTGTCTAACCCCTCATGGTTCAGTCCACTTAGAAGCAGCTCTCCATGTTTTCAGATAGAGGCCTGGCTTGCAGGTTACACTTAGCCAAACCATGAAATGGTAAGATGTTGGGAGCATCAACTGTGGGGAACGGGTGAAGTTGCTACTGTGACAGTGAACGATAGTCAGGTGCCTTAAGCAAAACAACCTCCAAATAATAGTCACATCCCCTCACAGCAGTAAACTAACTGAGCTACAATCCTCTGCCCTTTATTGGTGCCTCAGAGTGTTCCCTCAGCCTGGCTCATGCAAGGGCTAATTCTACTTCCCACAGCACAAAAAGCTCTGCAACTCCTGCACATTTTATTTTTTATTCATTTGCCGACAGGTAACACCTTTGTTTGTACGAGATAGCTGCAGGTGGAGAAAGAATGAGATTTGGTTCAACGCTGCCCCCTGATGGATTGTTTGCATGCTGGAGCCTGAGGTGTGGCAGATCCGAAAGCTCACCTTCCCCTCTCACAGCCTCTTTCCCAACACTGTGACTTTAGGATGCAAATACATTATCTAAACATTATGAAAGGATAACTTAAGAGATATCTGCAGTGGCCGCCATGAGTGTTACAGGTGTTATGGTGACATTACATTTTTTTGAGGGGTGTGTGCAAGGCTCCTCAAAACAGAGTGCAAAGGGATTACATGACATCACAGAAATGGCACGAGCAAATGGCAAGCAAGCAAGTGGACAGTATTGCTATAAGCCGCATAAATGAGGCAGCCAGCAGAGGCAGCTCATTGCAATGGTGCACTTTGAAGCCTTCCAGTGCAATCGGATACACGCTTACTTAGGTGCAGGTCTCACTGAGTCTATGCACACACCATACAGTATATCTAAAGCACTTTCCCACCTCCCAAGAATCATGGGGACTGGGGTTTGATAAGGGTGCTGGGAACTGTAGCTCTGTGAAGGGCAAGGTACAGTTTCCAGGACCCCCCTGCCTTCATTTATGCTTACTCCCCACCCCAAGCAAGTGTGCACAGGACTGCAGCCTCAGAGTTTGGAGGATTTTTGAAAAATAAAAAGATACATCCTCTTCCCAATGCTAATAATAATTTACTTCTTTCTCCCTCCACCTCCCTTTCCTGAATTCTTTCCTCAGGGGCAGATGAATTGTTTTCAGGTAAGAATGTCACCCGTGCAATACAAAGCAAACTAGCCACCTGGGCTCTGTCCTCAGCTTCAGCTTCAGAGTGGGTTCCTCATTTGAGTGGAGGGGAAGCAAGGGGTGTGTGCCCTGGGAATTATGATCTGTGGATTCTCCAGAGCATGGCTCGGCAAACTAAGGCCCATGGGCCGGATCAGGCCAAAATTGCCCTCTGGATCCGGCCCGCAGACAGTCCTGGAATCGCCGCTTGGATCGGTGTGATCGTTCGGGCTGTGCCATTTTTTTGCATTGGGGAGGCACCATTTCCCCCCTCCCTCACACACACTGCGGTGGCACCTTCTCACCCCTCCTCCTGGCTTCTCCCTGCCCTGCAGAGGAAGGGAACTGGGCTTTGATTGGTGCCAGCCAATCCGAAGCCTCGCTGCCTACATGCTGAGGCGCAGCCCAGACTCGCCACCCGCCCGCTGGCCTCTCTGTCCATGGCCGCACTGTGGGCATCGTGATGGGCTGGAGCTTGGCATGCCTGCTGGCCCCGTGCCTGGTGCCTGGGAGAACTGGCCCAGAAAGGAGAGGTGCCGCCGCTGGCTCCCAACCGCAGGCGGGAGGAAACTGGTTTGCAAAAATGTGTGTATTATGCAAAACTGCATATGAACATATATATTAGGAGACATTTGCACTATAAGCCTGATGAATTTTCCTGAGTGCTTTCCTTTCTCTGTTAAATCACAAACCGATGTGTAAATGTGGAGAAGTGAACTTCAATTTCGGAAACAGAGAAACTGAAACTGACATATTCACAGTCATCCCTGCTACAACATCAGGAGGACCACAGCTCAAATTCCTACAGTAGAGGTTGGGCATCCTAGTGTAGAAAGGTAGGGTGACCTAGTACTTTCAGGCAGTTAGAACCCAAACAGGTGTGATGTGGGAGATCTGTGATTGGCTTTCCTTAATCCTCTCTTTTAAAGCTGGTGTGGGGAGCCCTGATTTTGACAGAAGCAATGGCATTGGGATCAAGCCTATTTCTGTGTGTGTGTGTGTGAAAGAGAGAGATATGGAGGAAGGGAGGTTTAGAACATGAAAAAGGATGCTAAAATACATGCCGCCTCCCATAGGTATTATTAAGCAAAGAAGGAAAAGAAAATAAGATAATCTGGCCATGTTTGTTTTAGCTCCCAGGAGCTAAAATATCACCAACCTTTGGCAAGGAAACAATCAAAGTGCACTTTTCCAGCTGTGTTGTGATCTATGCATTTCCGTGTTCTTCTTTCCTCTTCAAGTCTGTGGTCAACCAGTGTTGTCTGACCGAATTGTGGGCGGCCAAGCCTCGCAGATTGGAGCCTGGCCATGGCAGGTCAGTGTCGGTTGGAAGGGGAGGCATTTTTGTAGTGGGTCCCTCGTGGCACAACAGTGGGTTGTGTCAGCCGCTCACTGCTTTAGGTAAGTACCAGCAAGGAGGTAGTGACATTTCACCAGTGTGCTTCAGAAATGTCTCAGTCTTTCTGCATGATGGGGCCAGCTAGGCATGGCAACACGAGCAGTTGCATCAATATCATGTTAGAATGAAAAGCTGGGGAGTCCCCTGATTTGGATTGGGACTCTGGTGGTGGTGTGTGTGGCATTTAACTCTATGGCGTTTAACCCTTTGACTCCCTGCTGACATTCCAGTCCGAATAAGGCCCTTTGCACCTGCTAATAACGCTAAAAAGGAACTTGTTCAGTGCAAAGGCTAATAGTATGAAGGTGTCATGGCTAGTATGGACCACTGTTGGCTTTGAATCACAACCTGGAGGTTGCTGGATCCTGGGACACCCATTTTTTAAATGCTCTTTGACTGTTAGTCAGTGACTCCATCCCTTGCTGCAGCATCACACCCCAATGCATTTTCTTTTTTGTTTCATTTCTGTTTCTCAGACTGAATCCTTTCTCAGACATCACCGTGACCTTGGGAGCATATCAACTTGCAAATAGAAGCTCCAAATCCCAGACCGTTCCTGTCGCCCAAGTAATCCGTAACACAGCATTTAATGGGACTGGGACAAGAGGGGACATTGCCTTATTGAGGCTCCAAAGACCCATGAACTATACCCCATACTTCCTCCCAGTGTGTGTGCCATTTCCTTCGGCTGTGTTCCCTGAGGGCATGGCGTGCTTTGTGACTGGATGGGGAAATATTGGATTTGATGGTGAGAGCCTGGTGAGAACATGGGGTTGGAGGTCAACCTGAAATGAATTCTGAAAGAGAGTAGCATGTTTTGGGAGGGTTTATCCTTTAGTCATGGGGATCCCTTGAGCCAGAAGTGGCTCACTGGATAGCACAGATGGCTATTCTAGCTTCTTGACAGAGTGGTTGCTTACTGGTAGGGAGAGGGAATGGATCTGCTGGTGTTTGTGCAATGTCAACCTTCCCACACCTTGCCTCTCCCCCTCCTGGTGGCCACCACTGATAAGGCCCTGCTCTAACTGATGTGAGTCTAGTTGTTGTGAATGATGGTACCTGGAAGAAACCTTCTTCAGAGGGGGAAATGTTTATATGGGAAGATATGCTGATTAGACTCACGTCCTAAGCTGTTTACAGCTTTAAGGTTGACACCAGTACTTTAACTTAGCCCCCGTAACTATTTGGAGGTAGCTGGTAAGGACATTTGAAAACTAGAATTGTATTCTCCCTGTGGCTGGCTCCAGAGAGTAGTGCCAGACCACCATGTTCCAGTAAGGCTTATCCTTTTTGTGTTGCCTGTTGACCCTTGACTACTGATTCAGTCACCATGCAGATCTTTACAGTGCAACAGGTTTGTTAAGCAGAGTCATATAGAGACTCTTAATTCAGGCCTGCAGCAGAGTTTCTCCTTGGCCACAAGAAGAAAGGGAGAAGGCAGTCTTGAGGCAGGGTTGCACAGGGTTGCACATTCACCATGCCTGAATGCAACTCACTTTTCTTCTGCTTTGCATTCTTAGAACCACTTCCATTCCCTCAGACACTGCAACAAGTCCAGGTCTCTCTCATAGATGTTGACAGATGCAACGAGATGTACAATGTGCCCCCAACTGGGTCCAATTCTGTCAAAGACACCATGATTTGCGCTGGATATAAAGAAGGAGGAAAGGACGCTTGCCTGGTAAGCAATTTAACAGTTGTCTTGAATGGTTTCTTGATGTTTTCAGGTGTTCCTGGCCTATTTCTCAGAGACTTCTACAGATGCTCAGTAAGGTCTCTATGTGGTCAAGGAGCAGGCACTGAGATACTGGTTGCCTGGGGTGAGATTTCGAGGGGGCGTTATTATTCCCTGCTTCTGCTTGTTTGTTTCTAGGGTGATTCCGGGGGGCCCTTGGTCTGTGCCCAAAATGACTCCTGGTTCCTGGTTGGCATCGTGAGCTGGGGACAAGGCTGTGCACTCCCGTACCGCCCCGGCGTCTACACCAGAGTCACGTCCTATGGCGATTGGCTGCAACGTTACGTTCCTGGCCTGCGGTTTGGAATTGTGCCCATCGCTCTGGAGGGGGGAGGGAACCATTTCAAACTTTTCACTTCCACTCCTCTTGTCACTTTCTCTCTTTCCCTCCTCCTGCCTTTCTTGCAGTGGGAATTCTTGAGGTGAGGAGTTCCTTGCCAGCTTGACGCTGTAGAATCAGTGCTGAATTTGGGTACATTGTAGGCAGCCCCAGGTTGTGGGGAACCTTTGGGCCTCAAGATGTTGCTGAATTACGACTCCTGCTGACCATACTCACTGTGACTGATGGGAGTTGCAGTTCAGCAGCACCTGGAGGGCCAAATGTTTCCCACACCCAGTTTCCTGTTTGAAGGATGATTTGGGTTGCAGCTTGAAGATCAGTAGGGCAAAGCATTTGTGTCCCATAGTAAGTGAAGGGTAGGTGCCATAATTCTTCTGGTTCCTGGACAAAGTGCCCTAGAATTCTTTGCTTTCTGCCTTCTTGCATTGTGACAAAATCCTCTCATTTGAAAAGTAATAATATAATCAGGTTTCTAGTCCAAATAGCAGTGATGACAAATGTGAAAGCACGTTGACTATCCCAGGGAAAATCTCAGAAGCCAGGAAGGGGACTCACCCCCTGTTTGTGGGTCTTGCATGGGCTTCTGGTTGGCTATTGTGAGAAAAGAATGCTGGTCTGGATAGGCTAGTTCTCAAACTTTTTTCTCTGGGCCACACTTTCAGAATAAAAATTTCCTCGTGCCACACCATTTTTTAAATTGATAAGCAATACATTGGAAAACAAAAAGAAACAACTCCTAGCAGTGCTTGATTTATAACACAGAACACAACTACTTTATAATATAATCATGGGACATCCAGAAAATATAAAACAATGAATAATAATAATAATAATAAGTCACTTGTACCCCAATCATGTGACTGGGTTGCCCCAACCACTCTGGGCATCTTCCAATGGAACAGGAATCATTCTCAAAACATAATATTGATTGTCCTTAAACCTTCCTGCCACACTTGCCATCCTCTCCTTGTGAGGTTTGAAATCCAAAGAGCTAAGTCTTTTGGGGGGCTGGGGTGGGGAATGGGACAATGGAAAGTTTGTGTGTATATGTGTTGACACTGTGCTGAAATATGTCATCCAGTTTTTGGAAATATTTCTTTGTTGCAATAAAGGCCTCTGTTTATTTGCCTCACCACAGGTTGCTTTCAAGTTACTTAATATTTCAGTGAGTTTGGGATTGAGCTTTCACCTTATCTTTGTGAGGGGGCTGAAAGTAGTGTGTGTTCCCCTTGACACAGAGGGTCATCGAGTCCGACCCCCTGCAATGCAGGAATCTTTTGGCCCAAACCTTTGTGGGGCTTGAACCCACAAAACCGTGAGATTAAGAGTCTCATGCTCTACCAACTGAGCTATCAGTCATGCAAAAGAAAGCATCTGAGGATGGTGCAGAGCAGATCTGAGCAGGGCTGTGGCTTGGAGAGAGTCCTGAGAGTCAGATAAAGAGGCAATACACCTACAATAAAACATGTTATTGACACAAGTGCATTCATGGCAGATTTATTCTGCTTTATTAGTTCTTGGATGCTTGCCCAAAGCTACCACATTTTTGCTGCCTGGTGAGGCTATAGCACAACAAAAATGGAATACTCCCCCCCCCCCGCACTAGAGAACATGTATTGCACAAAATGTTGTAGGATTTCAGCAGGTAATTACAGGATATACCTTGATTGGAAATGAAGCAGTAGAATGTCCTCCCCCCCAAAAAAGTTTTGCAGGAGCAAATATTATTGAAAGCATGATCACTTATGCAGGCATGAATATAAATACTCATGATGCACAATTAAAGGGTCATCTGGAGGGTCATTTTGCCCTAAATTCTGGTGAATTTGCCCATGTGAATCAGGGCCTGCATGCTCCCTCTTGAGCACGCCTTCCTTGGTTCGCAACAACACCATTTAGCAGTTCTACCATTGAGAAAATGGAATTTCCGCTCAATGTAAGTTGCTGCAGTTTTTCATTTATTCCACAACGAACTGGCACCAAGTTCATATCCAGAAAAAGGCACACTAACAGGTATCCTGTTTTGTTTATTCAGGCCAACACAGCACAAGATGGATTTCTCCCTCCCTCCCTCTCTTGCCTTCGCTCCTGCCACTCTGCTTGGAGAAACACCTTATTTATTGGAAGAGGGCCTTATATCTAGGAATCTAAGTTGACCAAACTCATATGAATATCACAGCAAAATCTGACCAAGCTGGGAGGGGGCAAAAGGCCAGTAAGGCGTGGTTACCTGGAGGGGACAGAAAGCGTAGTGGGTGGGCAGACAGGTTGGGTCACATTCTCCCAGGAGGCTGCCAGGAAGTGCCTGCCTGTTTCGTTGCACACCTAAGTTCTCGCAGAAGCAGAAGCAAACCTGGAGGGCTGTAGCTTTGAGGTTGCCCTGCTCCCCTGGAGGTGAGGCAGGGCCCTTCTGCACTATGAGAATCTTCCTCTCCTTTTTCTGCCTCTCTATGCCACCCCTGATACAGGGTAAGTCATTGTGTGTGTGTGCGCGTGCATGTATCTAAGATTCTCTTTCTCTGGATAAAACTAAAGTGGGTGGTAGTTTCCATTGGGGTATCTGGGCTGTTTGGGAAGAGACAGTGGTGATAACAGGGAAGCTACTACTCCAGAGTTTTGCTTTAGAATATAAGAAAGGAGGTGACACTAGGACTTCGTTGGTTAGAAAGTAGTTTATCTTCCTCCCCCACATCTGCTTTGAAGACAAGTGATTACATAGGACTGTGTTTTCCATTCTGTGGCATCATGTCCCTGTGCAAATGATGTTCCATGCTAGATACTGTGCCCTTGCTGACTAAGCTCACTAGCCCCTTGTCATTCCTCCAGATTCACCCCTAGAGCTTCCCATTCACACCCCATGCAGCTACTAAGTTTGCTCTTCACTTTCCCAACCTCATTTCCTAAACCACTTCTCCCTTCTATTCTACAGCCCCACTTTGCACCCTGTTTCCACCTTCACCCTGTGTCCAAATCTTCCTCTTTCTTTTGTGCAACCCCACTTGCCCACAATCCACTTGCAGGGTAATCTCCTGCATCTTCTACCTCTCTTGCATTGCAAATACTGAACACCCTTTTCATTTTTGGTCCAACTATGAAGCCACCACCAGCTACTATTCTTTAGACCCTTTCATGCCCCGACATTCCGTTTCAACCCCATTTCCATGCCTCCTTCTCTCTCCTTTTTTGCAACCCCCTATGCACTTTCCATTTTCTCTTCCACTCTTCCCACTTTTCTCAGCTCTCCCTTGTACACAGATCAACCCCATTTCCATGCCTCCTCATCTTCCCCATTCTGCAGCCTCTTTTATGCCAACACTTTATGCGGATATATGTTACAGTACTGTAGATTCTTAAGAGTAAGTACGTTGGCTTATTCTGCTAGAGAAGGCTAAACTCTGTTGATCAATGTTGTGTATATATATATCTGTATATTGCTACAAAAGTTGGGCACCACCCCCAATTTCTTTTCAACTGTGCCAAGATTCTATGAGGGCTCCAGATGCTCACCCAGGATCTGTGCTCCTTTGAGAATAAAGACATGGCAGAGACTGTCATAGCTTTAGGAAATATTATTCATATATTTGCACCTGTGTTTCCTTGGAGGGAGTTCAGATCTTACAGGTCATCTCAAGAGTGGCTTGTTCCCCGCATCTCCCCCAGCCTCCCTTTAGCCATCCTGCCAAAGATGGACCTCTGTCTTTGTTTCCCCCTTCTCGTTCCCAGCACACCTTGATAAATGCACTCTTTTCCTGTCACATCACATGCACACCCTGTCACATTGCCAACCTTTGTCTGCTCAGGCCCAATGATTCCTCTTAGATGGGCCATCAACCCCTTTTGTCATGTTAACACCTCTTTCCCTGGTGAGGCGTTGGCTTGGAAAGGAAGCTTAACCTGTATTTTTCCACTGGCCTGGAATCTTAATATTAACAAGGTTCTGACATTCATTAATTTCTTGGGTTTAGGGGGTCCCTCCCCTCCGATTCATAACATCATTTCTATCTATCTATCTATCTATCTATCTATCATCTATCTATCTATCTATCTATCTATCTATCATCTATCGGTGTCCACTTTGACTTCACCCCCAAAGGCTCATTCCTCCATTGTTTCCTGAGACAGACAGATGCCAACAATTTTTTCTCTTGTTAATAAAATATATCTTCAAAATTACTACACTGAATCTGGAACGGCATGTTGAAGACAACGCATGGTATCAGGAGTGAAATACATTGTGTGAAACTTTTGAGGGCTATTCATCCTTTATTCTGTCGCATGAAGCAGCTGAGGAATGGCCAGTTTTTGTTCCATGTCTTTTCCTTCTCACTGTTCTCAGACAATGGCAGAAGTGTGAGGGGGGTGGAGGTGGAGACCATCTGAGATGAAAATTGTGGTTTTAAACAATGGCAGAGGTTTGACTAAAGCAAGGATGGAGTAACACAGAGGGTTTTTATTAAAAAAGCAACAGCCCCAAATCCTAGTTTTAACAAAGAGAAGTAGCAGAGATGTGTAGTGTGTAAAGAGATGTGGCGATGTCATGGAGGGGATGGTCAGTTCATGAGGAGTGGGAGGAGATCAAGGGTGTGGAGCTATATGACACAGGGGAGGGTCCAAGCAGGTAGTGGTGAAATTGGGGTCCCAAGAAATACCTGAGCCAGAGGAGGGGACTAGGGATAAAGAGAGTCAGGAGCTGGATCTTGGGGAGGGTCCAAGCAGGTTGACAGAGAGGTGTTCTGCCCCTGTGTCACTGAGCACCTCTAGTCAGGCATCTCCTAAACTTGAGCTATTGTTTGCCATACTGAGGGTTGTGTCCACCCCACTCTTCAATTGGAAGAGACAGAAGGTGTGCCCCTTCTTGGATCAGCATCTCTGCTTTTGCTCAGCCATGTAATTTGCCTGCTGTGCCTTTTAACTATTGCCCTGCCTCATTAAAGATTTTGGGAGAAACAGAAGCCTAAGCTTGAATTCTTCAGTGTGGGCCAGGACAACACAGAAGCTAACACCACAGAGCTGTTGCCAACTCTTTCTTCTATTTTAAACTGCCACTCTCCCTGCCTCAGTGTCACCCCCTGCTCACTCTATTCAAACCTCCGCCATTGTTTGAAACTACCAATTCCCCACTCTGTTTCCTCCATCCCTGCTTTATTCAAACCTTTGGTGTTGTTTAAAACTGCCATTTCCCCATGTCCTTCCACTCCTGCTCTACTCTAACTTCTGCTGCTGTTTTAAACCATTGCTTCCACACCCTCAGTGTTGTTCCCTTCTTGCTCCCATGTCATGGCCGCTGCTGTTGTGCACCCTGCCTTCTGCTTTGCTCCCCTCCCACACTCTGACGTCAAGCTATCCAGGTTTTGATGAGGTATGTGCAATGGGGACTGCACGATTACAGCCTTGCATTTTTATGTATACAGGAAGATAATTGGGTGAGATGACTGCTGACCTTCTTGGGAGGGAGTAGGGCCTAGTGATTTGGGCAGATGAGTTGGGAAATTGGGGGCTCCCCAGTACCATCTCCACTGGTGGAATGGGAGTGGGAGGCTGTATGGATGTTTGACGTAATTGAATGCGTTTCCTTCTTCAGACTTCATGCAGTTATTATGTGGTATAGATTACACAGGGCTAAAAAAGGTAGCATTTCAGCACTATTACAGGGCACACTCCAGCGCAGCCTTCTCAGCCGTGTGTGAGTGACTGTGGTTCACGTCCCTCAGTTATCTGGATCCTTGTCTGTGTGAAGTTAACATTTCTGGAATGCATAGAGATGTGTGCTTGTGTATGTGGGAAAATATGGAATTAGGGAAGAGGATCAGGATTCCTGGGTTCATTCCCTAGCTTTGCAGGGGAATGCTGTCAAGGAGACAGCACTCCTGGTTTGGGGGTGGGCAACCAGAACTTTCTGGAAGCAGAGTAGAGTGTAGTTTGCATAAGAGCAGGTGAGTATGGCTGCCAATTGAGCATTTTCTGGCTGGCTTGTCAGGCGTCTGGGCTGGCTGCCAGACTGCAAATGGGAAGCTCAAAGAAGAGAAAAGCTTTATTGTTTTGTTTGCTTCCAGTTCTGGCTTCTTCCTCTGCTTGTTAGTTAATTCGTTAATTCAAAAACAATTTTCAACATGCATGCATTGTGCATGTAGGTACGCCTGCGCAGAAGAAAGTTCACCTGGAATTTTTTTGGAAGTGTGTGTGCACTTGGAAGGCGCCATGTGCATGAAAAGGTCTTCCTGCTGGTGGCACCCAATATGTGGAGATGTTGTCTTCCACTTTTCCAGTGTCCCGCCACTATTTGAAGATTGTTCTTTCCTAGTGAGCCATATGGGCAGACCCTCCCCACCCCCCACCCCCCATAATGTCCTTGGGCACAATTCGTATGTCATGACATTGCATCATTCTTAGTGACATTCTGTTCCAGGAACATGGACAGGCTCCAAAGAGCAGCCAAGTTCCTGCTTGAAGAGGAGGAAAGCCTTTTGTTTACACATATAAAAAAAAAGGGGGGGGAGAGAAAATCCCATATAAATCTATTTAATTGCATTTTCAGTTTTACAAACAGTAACGAAAAATAAATAAAATGAAACAGAATGCAAACAATGTATCCCCTTTGACTTCCCTCCCCCTTTTGTGCATCATTATGTTATTATTTTCCTTCTGCATCTTCTCAATAATTCCAGTTATTATAAACCCTTAATCAATCCATAATTCCATTTTTTACTACAAGATTTCTGTCAATCCAACTAATGCGTGTTTACAATAATTTTTCAAATGTTATATACTTTACCAATTACTTATAATTTGATTCTTCCTGGTTCCTGATTCTTCCTGTAAGTTTTGCCATTTCACCATAGTTCATTAGTTTTATCTGCCACTCTTCCTTGGTTGGGACTGTATCTTCTTTCAGTCTATGAGCTAGCAAAGTCTAGGCAGCTGTGGTCGCATACATAAACACTTCCCTCTGGTATTCTTGGTTTCCTTGGACGGTTTAATGAGTCAGGAACTAACCAGACTCGCTTTTTTTAATGACAAAGCAGTTGCATGCTGTTTGATTGGGGAACCAGCACAGAGGGAGGGGATGTTTAACCCTTTCCTACTGTGTCATCGTCATGATCTAAATGGCTCCCACCAATTCCAAATGGATCCCTAGAAGGATAGACAAATACAGCAGCCTTTTTCCAGGGGCAACTGAGTAACAATGTGTATGCTAAGGGCCCCTCTCCCAGTGCCACTACTTCCGTCATATCAGAAGTCCCATGTAGCCTCTGTGAAGTACAAACCACTTTCTGGAGTACCTGGTCATCACACTCCTGCTTCACATTTAGTTTGGTCTTTTGATCAAAAGTGTGGGATCTGTGACTGCAGTACATGGGTGGTATGTTTGCAGTTCTTCCATACTGTTTGTCAAATGCGCTAAGCGCACCAACCTTTTGCAGAAAAAAAAAACTGGCTGAGGAGTTTACTCTGTTTGGGTCATTTACTCAGTTAATCCTCTTTAACACACTGAGTTTGCAGTGAGATCCTACTGTAAAAGTCCCCCCCCCCCATGCATTTAGGTATTTAGAGAAATAATAAAAATTACCATATTTTTCGCTCTATAGGACGCACTTTTTCCTCTCCAAAATTAAAGGGGAAATGTGTGTGCGTCATATAGAGCGAAAAATACGGAAATAAATGCCAGTCCCCCCATCGCCCCGTCTCCTCCACCTTGCAAAATCTGCTTGCCAACAGGTGTCCTGTCGAAACTGCACTTTGTAGTCAATGTGACTCCCTGACTGCCTGGTTAGTGTGTAAAAGCTCAATCAATTCTTACAAACAGTTGAGGGGATGGATCTGTGTCTGAACTCTCCAGACTGTAGGTGAGAGTTCATATGGTTCAATGCCCACTTGCTTTGTGGGAATAAATAAATGTCTCTTCACACAGAAAGGGCAATGGTGGTAACCTAACCTTAACCATGAAACACCAAGGCTGTGTACACACAATACCTTTAAAACACATTTGAAACACATCGTTTGCTGGCCAGCCTTCGGCTCCACAGCAGCACGAGGTGGAAAATGGAGAGAAAGCCCTGGAATAAGGAAACTGCAATCAAATAACAATGTCAATAGGAGACTTGCAAACCTTTTTTTAATTTATTTCCATTTGGAAAGAATGCTCTCACTGTTTGTGGGGACTAGGCCTAAGATAAGGAAACCGCAATTGCTCTGAATCAGAATCTCACAAGAGCCTATGTGGGGCAGATGTTAAGTACACAACAAGCATTCATATCTGAAGCGAGTTCTGTTGGAATTATGTGTTTTAAGAAGCTGTGCCCATAAAAAGGTGTGGCTTGGAATGCTCAAATGACTACCAGGCTCCCCCTGGGCTCCAAGAAATGGCAGGGTGGGGAAAAGAAAACAATCAGTGTATTACAAAGTGGTTATCATTTTGCAGCTTTCCCCCTGCCACACTGCCACAGGCAGTCCTAAGAGTCTCAAGGCATACCTCACCAAAGAGAAAGATATGCTTTTGCAGGACATGACCTGATTTTTATTTGATTTGATGTCCTATTAGCACCCCACTTTTCCAACAATGTTAAGCTCAAAGCTGCTCACGATACTAACAAGAGAATTAAAAACTGGTAAAAATTACAATAATTGTAACCATATCAGAAACATATCAATACCAGCAAATATGAAGGAAAAGTATTGTAAGATTCTTTACCCCCCCCATATTTAATCCCCTGCTAGCTAAATCTAATACATAGACTTGGATTTGATAATGGTTGGAGATGTATAAAGCAGATTTTATACTTCTGGAATTGTCCTCAAATATAAACTTGTTGAATACCTGTACAGACAACAGTATTGGAATAGTTAGGATGCCCTATACCTCTGGGACCTGAGGTACTTTTACTTGATTTTTAAAAAGATGTTATGTCAGAAAATGATCCTAAGTAAGTAAGGTTACTAAATAAGTAACCTTATTGCTGCTGCAAAGGTAATGACTGAAAAAAGGGAAATAGAAAGATAAAAAACACACAACAGCATATAAAATACAACACCATATAAATAAAGCAAAAGGACAAATTAATCAGGCAACTAATACAATTTAATACAAATATATTGTGAGTTAAAATATCAGAAATGGCTGCTGAGCCCCAAACTGGGAGCCGTTAATTTGGGAAGGGGATTTGTTGCTCAGTTCAGCAACAGGCTCCTGGGCAGCAAGACCTTCCATAGTTTTAAATCTCAAATTTGATTTCACCCTCAGTCAAAGAGCTCAATCACTTCTCTGTTGTTTTTGGAAGGGTGGGCAACAATATTACAACGGGGTGTGTGTGTCAATATTGTAACAATATAATATGGGAGTAAATACAGAGATCACGAGTTGTTGGCATCCATTTGTCTCAAATGGTGCAACTTGGAGGGTGAAGTCAAACTGTTGGGAGGTTACAGTCCCGGCTGTGGCTGTAGAGACCAATGTGGGAGAGACATGTTTTGTTGCAGCTGGGGCAGATGAAGGTGTCTGGTTGTGCAGATGCACCATGGCGTTTCTTCTCTTCAAGTACTGCAGGGTTCCACTCCATTCCCATGCGTTTCAGATGACTAGCCACCTGAGGCAGCACTGCCTTATGGCACAGATGCCCCCATGAACCTGGTGCCCCAAGTTGTCACTTGGGTTGTCTTGGCCCTGACTCACCATTGCTCCTTCAAGGACACCTTCTGTTTACCTTTTTCTTTTTTCAATGTTATGATTTTATTTGGTTTCCTCTTCCTGGTTCTTGTTTATACCCAAACAATCTGGTTCCCAAGCTTTGCCTCTGATGATGTCATTTAATCATTTTTCACTCAGGTGTCCTGAAACATGAAACTCAAAGCGGTGAGTATCTCTTTCATCTGGACCATGCGCAAAATGTACTGAACCATGCACTAGATATGCTAAGCAATATGTGTGCTCAGGCACTAATCCTATAATCTACAAGGAAATGTTCTCCCCTCTCCCCTGCAGAATTGTTAACATTGCTGTTGTTGTACAGTACACAGCCTTAAGGCACAGCCTTAAGCCTTAAGGTTGTACAGTACACAGCCTTAAGGCAAAGGCTGTGTACACACCATAAGCTATATTCCATCAAAACTGTTGCAGTGGGTATATGATTTATCAAATTCTTTGTTGGGGATTTTGTGGAACACAGTCTTGTTTTTCTTTGATAATTGAGAAAGATTAGGAAAAATTATCACATTCCAAAGAAAAATTGGGTAAAAAAATATTGCTTCTTTTGAACATTTCTCACCACTTTTCATTTTGGGAGGCCACTATGACCTTTTGCTTGCTGCCCAGTATCAGCCTTGCTGATTCAGGAAATTATGATTTAATTTGCGTTTCTCAGCTGTGCGTCAGTAATCTATATTTTTGAATTTTAATGCTAGCACTTTACGAAGTTTCATGGTATTAACTTCATTTATCTTATTTTCTGTAGTGCACTGGAATTGTAGCAAAGTATTGTAAAAAGATTCTGGTCTATGATATTTGACACAATACTGGAAATGGCAGGATATGCTTTATCCCCAAATTCTAAAACAATCCTTTGAGGATATTGATCATCAGTTAATACAAACTCTACTGACCATATCAAAACTATGTATTGCCAAACTTGCAAATGTACCACCACCCCAACTGGTACAGAATGGCTGAAGAATACTTGGGAAATAATACTGCCAATAAAGCAAATATATAATAGAAGAACACTTTATAATAATTATCAAAACAACTTCAGTGAAATACAGTCTACACTTATAGAATTCTGGAATGACAAATTAGCTCATGATATATCTCCTTATAACTCCTTTACATTAATCTTATTTTCTATCTGTTTATTTCTCACTTTTCCTAATGCAACTTTGCTACTCATATTTTCTCTTCATTTTATTCTTAAAAAGATTAGCAAGAAAACAAGTCTCACTTGATTTTTCAGTGCTTGAAATCAGCATCTACATTTTTTAAATCAAATGTTGAAGCCTCCAACCTAAAATAATGAGATAAGGTACTTTGTTGCTCACTATTTTGTTCATCACTAGTTTTGCTTTTAAATATTGCTTACTATGTACTGAAGACTCAAACCTCCTGTTTCCTCTTTTCCTCTTTTATTTTTAGGAGATGTGGGAAATGGCACTCAGACAGGTAAGAGATCAGCAAAAACAGGTTCTCTCACTGAAAATCACAGGGTCATTGTAGCCGCACAGTGAAACTAGGGGGTGGTCTCTGAGGAATATAGCCTGGCCCTTGGCTTCTGTCCTTCATACTGGGAGTTTCCCCCTTTGCCTGGACATCTTGGGGAAGAGGTCAAAACCAATATGTTTGTCAATTTCCTGCCAACTTCTCTTTCTCTCTGTTTTGCCAGTGTGTGGTCGGGTGATGCCCCAAAACCGTATTGTGGGGGGAAAAGATGCTTCTCATGGTGATTGGCCGTGGCAAGTCAGCCTCCAATATAATGGACAACATGCCTGTGGAGGGACCCTCATCAGTGCTGACTGGGTGCTGACAGCAGCCCACTGCTTCCCCAAGTAAGTAACAGGGAGAAAGGCCTTGGAGTGTGTAATGGGAAAAATGAGTAGGCAAAAGATCTGACCTAGCATTTTCAAAGAACACAGAAGCAGGACTTGTGAGAGCCTGCCTTACACACCCTTTGGAGATAGTACAGGTCCGTCCCTGCGTGTTTAGTGTTTGTTTTCTTAAAAGCAAGTCACTAGCCCTCGTGGAGGAATAAGGAGAGGCAGAATTCCCCCTATTTGTTCTCTATGTAGTAACAGATATTTAAACATATTAGGCCTCTGGAATTATGCTCTGGCTGTTTGGCAATGGTCCACTGCCATGTTAGGTCCTGTCCCCACAAAGTTTGCCTTCAGCAACTTTAAAAGAGCACCTGAAAAGGAGCTGTGTAAGGCAGAACTTCGTGGTGAGAAAGGCCTGCTCACAAGTGCAGATGTAAAAAGACAATGTTTGCCATTCTGCCCTTTATTTGTAACCTACAGCACTTTGTTATACTGCAGTTTGTCTTTACTCAAAACTATGCTATCTGTCCCTCTGCCCATTGTGGCAAGATTATTTAATTTACATAATTAATTACATAAATTATGTAATTTCTGTTGGAATTATCTGATATCCCTATTCACAAGTCTTCAATCCTGTCGTTCTCTGTTCTCTCCCTTGAGAAAACCCAGGACCTTCAAGAGATAGCCTACTTGATATGTCAGGTCAGCTGAGCTTCTTCCCCATTCCCCTCCCACCCCAAACACATAATTCTCCCCTCAGCTTTCTCTTGTATTTATTGTTGCCACTGGTCCAGCAGTGCCTGCTATCATCATTAATTAAATTTCTATCCCACCCTACATTGCAAAGTGACACGTGTATGATATTGTTCATGCACAACGTAAACCAAAGTAGCCGCCTCAGGTAAACAAACATGGTGACTAACTCTCTGTTTGTGTTACTGCTGCAAAACAGAACAGGGCTGTGGGGAGTGCCTCTGCCTCTACCACAGTGCCGCTCTTGTGTTTGGCTGCTGCTTTTGAAATGGGGAGCTTCCCCCCACATGGAGGCTCCCAATGTATATTTGAATCCTATGCCCAGGTATTCACTTGTACATGCAAGTGACCAACTGTGGTCACAGTCACACTAGGTTAAAAAAAAGGTAAAGGACCTCTGGACGGTTAAGTCCAGTCAAAGGTGACTATGGGGTTGTGGCGCTCATCTCGCTTTCAGGCTGAGGGAGCCAGCGTTTGTCCACAGACAGCTTTCCAGGTCATGTGGCTAGCATGACTAAACCGCTTCTGGCGCAACAGAACACCGTGATGGAAGCCAGAGTGCATGGAAATGCTGTTTACCTTCCTGCCACAGCGGTACCTATTTATCTACTTGCACTGGTGTACTTTTGAACTGCTGGGTTGGCAGGAGCAGGGACTGAGCAATGGGAGCTCATTCCGTCACGGGATCCAAACCTCTGACCTTCTGATTGGCAAACCCAAGAGGCTCAGTGGTTTAGTCCACAGCGACACCTGCGTCCATAGCTGTCAACTTTCCCCTTTTTTATATGGAAATTCCCTTATTCCGAATAGGATTCCTTGCAAGAAAAGGGAAAAGTTGACAGCTATGCCCGCGTCCCCTACATTCACACTATCCATTTAAAGCACTGTGATTATTCTCAAAGCAGTCATAACTGATAATTTTTGAGTAAAGCTGGCAGAGGAACCTTTGGCTTCCAGATGTTGTGGAGCTACAACTCCCATAAGCCCCATCAAGCATGGTCAATGTCTAGGGATGATGGGGATTTTAGTTCAGAAACATCTGGAGGCCACAGTTTCCCCACATGTGGAGAACATGATATAATACACCCTCTTTTTAATTCAGAAACTACCCCACCCCATGACCTGACTCTTGTTTGTTTTTCCTAATAGGACGTCAAAACTATCTCACTTCCAAGCAAACTTGGGGAACTACCAGCTCTTGAACCCAGAACCCAATGCTAAGTGGTTGAAACTCTCCCAAGTGATTGTGAACAAGCACTACGCTGGAGATGGGACCAGTGGAGATATAGCTCTGGTTCAGTTGGAACATCCCGTACGCTTCACCAAAAGCATTCTCCCAGCCTGTCTCCCAGATGCCAAGGTCCAGATCCCAAATGGCACCCTTTGTTGGGTGACGGGATGGGGAGCTCCACAATATGGAGGTGAGGTGCTGTAGCTCAGTGGCAGAGCAGCTGCTTTGATTGCAGAAAGTTCCAGTTTTAATCCCTGGCAAAGATCCTTACCTGAAACCCTGAAGACCTGCTGATGGTTAGCATGGAGCTGAACTTTAGTCTGACTCACTGTAAGGCATGTTTTCCAAACTGGGATAAAATGGTTCAGCTGCGTGGCAGTTTTGGAATGGATGTGGATTAAGATGCTCAGTGAGGTTCATGTTTGCTTTTAACCTGTATTTGAATAGGCTTTCTCCCCCACCCCTTTGTACATTAACCACACTGGGACCTTCTTCTGCAGGGCAGTATAGAAATGTCTAGAATAAATAATAAATAAATAAACAGGAGTACAGAGAACACATGGTTCAGAAGGCTTGGGGATTTAAGGGGACAGATAACCACTGTAACCAATATTACCACTTGACTGGAAGTATGATGTTGTGAGATATAGCTGCTTGGAATAATCCAGATTCGTGTCTCTGAGGGTGAGATATTAAAAAAATACAAAAGAAATTGTTATTGTTAATAATAACAAATAATTTGGAGTTCACGTGGTGAAAAGGGCAGATAAGGAAGGGGCTTGATAGGGTCTGGATACTTAGAAGGTGCAAATTAAGGGGAACTGAGATGTGAATTACTTAATGAGGGATACCTTTAGCTGGGTGCCAATATGGTTCCCTCTAGATGTTTTGGACTACAACCCCCATCAGCCCCTGCTCTTGCAGCTAGATCCAAAACATTTGGACGGCACCAGGTTGGCAAAGACTGGGATAGAGAGAGCAGCTTAGACCAGAGTACTTAGCCATGACTGAGGTGAAAAGAAAAGGTGGAATTAGTGGCAAGACATTTGAAATTCTGTTGCTACGTGGTTAGATCAGAGATGGGCAACTTGTGGCCCTTTAGATGTTATCCTCCAGCTCTCATCTGCGGCAAGGTTAGAAGCAAGTGTCCCACATTTTCCCAGTGCATTTTCCTATCACTTTCCACATCACAACAAGTCAGATCTTTTGGGTAAGTGGATTTGTTGTGTAAGACCTCCAATCAACTATATTGTGCGACCTGAATTTGCCAGTATATTTTTGAAACACCCACTGTTGTTTCTGAGGTGGATTTGCATCCCTTTCCTCTTGCAGTATTTAATTTATTCTGAATTGCTTGATTTCTCATTCCTCCTCTTCTTCCATCCTTGCTATCTTAATTTTGCCTCAAGCTACCCTCCGGGCTCCCAAGACCCTGCAACAGCTTCAGGTGCCCTTGATAGACACAAGATCCTGTGATGCCATGTACCACATTGGCACTGGTATCCCCCCCAGTATCCGACAGATCCAGGATGACATGATCTGCGCTGGCTATGCCGAAGGAGAGAAAGATGCATGTTTGGTAAGAAAGGAGTACCAGCGGATATGCAAATGGCAGAGCAGCAGTGAGGGCATAGGAACCTGTGTCCTTCCAAATGTGGTTGGATTTCTCCTAAACCCATTTCGTCTCACTTATTCCCTCTGCACCCTCCACTTACTAATAACCCTGTAATTGTGGGCCACAGCTGTGGCACAAAGCCAATCAAATAAGATATTATGTTTAAGAAAAGTGTTTATGTACATTTGTTTATATCAAGATTAGAAAGTGAACAACCTTATCTGGTTTAAAATAGTACTGTATCTTTAAGTCAGTATACACTTTGTTAGCTTGTTACTGTCACTTTAAATATCAACACATTGTATCCAGCTATTAATGTTAAAGTGAGACAGCTTTAAGGATGCAGTTGCCTCCCCCCCCAGCACCCCAGTTAAGTCTCAACAACAGTCGTACCTTGGAAGTCGAACAGCTTAGTTCCTGAACATTTTGGCTCCTAAACGCCGCAAACCCGGAAGTGACTGTTCCAGTTTGCGAACTATTTTTGGAACCTAAAAGTCCAGTGTGGCTTCTGCGGCTTCTGATTGGCTGCAGGAGCTTCCTGCAGCCAATCAGAAGCTGTGCTTTGGTTTTCGAACGTTTTGGAAGTCAAACGGACTTCCGGAACGGATTCCGATTGACTTCCAAGGTATGACTGTAGTTGAGGACTCTGTTGGAAGCCTTTTCTCCCAATCCCTTACTGACTTATCAAAGTGTAGGTTTGTCTTGGTGTACTACTTGGAAATTTCGCCTCTGGGATTCCTACTGCTCATCAGAAACCAACATTCCAGGTTGATTCTCATCCCCCCCCGTCCGACAATTCTCCCCTTGCCTCTTCAGCCTAAGCCAAGCAATTCAGTCAGCCCAACAAATATTTGGCCACCAAACTGCTCTACCTCCATCTTAGGTCTGCTTTCTTATTCCATGATCCTCATCCTCTGCTGTCTTCTTCTTCTGGCTGAACACCAAGCACCAACAACTCCAACTGTCCCTCTGCTGACCAGCACATGGCTTTATATATACTTCCTCTGGGCCCTCTAGTCCAGTCTCAGCCAATCAGAGTGTCCAGCTGAAAATTCTAAACCTGCACCCACCAATCATAATGTGCAGGCATTCTATACTTCTTTTGCATACGGAGAATTCTAACACTAGCCTTTCCTCACAGTTGTCAGTTAAGGCTCCCGTTGTCAGTTAAACTGACTTTGGCCCTACCAAGACAGAAAACTTCCCACCTAAAATACATTACAATCAGTGCTTTTCTTCTAGAAAAAAGGTGCTGGTACTGTGTACCATTGAGCACACCCAGAAAAAAAGAACTCATTACAATGTATATTACAATACAAATGTATTGTACACATTACACAATGCTTATTAAAACCTGATTCAAATAAATAGGATTTCCCTCCATACATTCTGAAGAAATATGGAGAACCAGATGTCAGTCACTAGGGGGGAAATTGCTGTTACTAACTGTCGAGACTCCAAAGAGTTTTGTAACTGTTGCTGTCACAACTACTAAACGCATGGTACCTATAGTTCAAAAATTGTGTGTGTGTAGGGGGATATTCAGGGAAACTTTGTTCTCCTTCCTAAAATTTGCTGGAAAAAGTTCGAGTAGGAATATTTAGCTCAGCTTTCATCACACCTGTCTGGAAGTCCTTTAGCCTAACTCCCAAGGTAGGTCTAGCCTGGTTGTTGCTTCCTAGTGTGGAGGAGAGGGTGTACTGTCCATGCTCAGAGGCAGCCTGGAAAAGGGACTTTTTTATTCTAGTTATAGCTTTAGTAGGCACAAGATATAGGTGACAGAGATCTTACCCAGGGAGATGGTTGTGCGTGCAAGTGGAACATCCTGGCAGTGGTTGGCTGGTAGCACCAGGCTCAACATAAAACAGATAAAGTCTGGAGCAAGGGGCATGTTACAGACTCTCACCAGCTGCTTTCCTTAACCTAGGGCGACTCCGGAGGTCCCTTGGTCTGTCAAGAGGATGGTGCTTGGTTTGTAGTGGGCATTGTGAGCTGGGGTGAAATGTGTGCCATCCCCAACCGCCCAGGCGTTTACACACGTGTCGGCTTCTACGAGGACTGGATAAAGAGGCACTACGCAGGAGCTCAGTTCGGCCTCGTGAATGTCACTTATTACAGAGACACTTCATCTGCATTGGCCTCCAGCCTTGTCCTCAAAGAGTTCCTGCTACTGCTCACTGCCTCCTGCCTCACTACCATCCTTCTGACATAGAGGGATATGAGTGTGTTCCAGTGTTTCCCTCACTCAGATGAAGTGTTATGGGATACAAACGAACAAAAACCCAGGTTATTTTCACCAAAAGAAAAAAAAAAGTGTCTGAAGATTACTGGTAGTTCAGTAGCTTCTGCTGTTCTATCGTATACCTCGGGGATGTATCAGGAATGCAGTTCTGAGTGGATGGATTCTGGAATGTTCTGGAAAGTTCCATGTTTTGATGAAGAGAACAACAAGAAGAACAACATTAGACTTTATGGACTTATAGAACATTGGAGGTGTGGAGAGCGATATTTTCTGGTGAGGAAGCAGGACTTCTTCACTTGGAACACTGCCCTCTAAGCTCTCCCCCTCTCCGCTGCTTAAAATATCCCTTACATTGGAACAGGGGTTCTTGCATCCTGCCCTAAAAGGTGCTAATTTTGTGAACTGTTGACTATACATATGCACATTTGCACAGTCTATGCAGACCACAACATTTCTTACTAATTTGAATTCTCCTATTGAAATCTCCTAACAGCTATGGCTGTTGGGGGGAGCCCATGCATTAAAAGGAGGAAGTTGTGGGGCTGTATGAGCAGAACACCCCTCACTGCCACCTCCATGCTCCCTGATGTCTGCGTCTTAATCAAACATTTTTTTCATGTAGTGATACAAAGGACACATCATACATTTGAAGCAATAGGATACCACTTTAAACAGTCTACCTCTGTGAGGGGAATAGGGGTCTCCTAACAAATCTCAGCACTGTTAACAAACTACAGGTCCCAGGATTCCTGGGGGGGGGGGGAAGCCACGACTGTTATAATGGGTATCATACTGCTTCAAATGTATGGTGTGAGTGGCCAAAATGATCCTCTCTGTGAAAAGGGACCTTGATTGGGCCAGGGCCTCTCTTCACATAGAAGAGCACAATGCACATGCATCACTACACAAACAACATTCCTCCTTTTGTAGTTTGAGCACATGGATGCCGTGTGTGTGTGGTGGTGCTGTGTGGAGCATGCAGGGCTTATCAGCACAGCCTTTGAGTCCCCACCACACCTTCTTTTGACATGTGGAGGGAATCATGTGAACCCCCATAAAGTGGTCCTAATCAGGGGAGTGACTGGAAGGTAGTTTTGCACAAGGGTGTGTGGTGTGGTGAGGGACAGAGATGACAACCTCCTCATGTGATTACAGTGGTACCTCGAGTTACAAACACCTCAGGTTACAAACGCTTCAGGTTACAAACTCTGCTAACCTGGAAGAGTTACCTCGAGTTGAGAACTTTGCCCCAGGATGAGAACGGAAATCATGTGCCGGTGGCACAGCGGCAGCAAGAGACCCCATTAGCGAAAGTACACCTCGAGTTAAGAACAGTTTCAGGTTAAGAACGGACCTCCGGAACGAATTAAGTTCGTAACTAGAGGTACCACTGTAGTTTGGCCTCTTTCCCTCCTCCCCTATCCTGCCCTACGTTTTCCAGGGCAAAGATGGCCTCAGAATCCAAAACTCAGCAGCACGCCATCTTGCTACCCACTTCCTTCCCTCCTTCCTTCTGGAATTCACTGCTTTGTGGTGTGTGAAGAGTTGGGGATGGGTGAGGAAGGGTGTCATTTCAGCGTTTAGCAACTTGTGCCTAAAAGACTAGGGAGAAACACACACACCCCTACTTCCTTACATGACATATTTACTAGAAGGAAATTACAAAGCCTATGCCAGAGAGCCACATTCAGACCAAAGAGGCTAGTCCCCATGGTGCATTGAAACTTCTTGCCACCAGCACCATATTGTTCGGCTTTTAGCTGGGCATTGCTGTGGTGCATTACCGCTTCTTATTTGTGGGGAACCAGAAAATAAGGAACCACTGCTGACTCCTATTTTGCTCCCACCATGGTATGTATCTTTCAAAACCTGTTACCCACTGCCACCTTATATCTGTAACATGCTGTTTACCAAACCTTTCAGTGTAATCCAGTGGCTGTGGTACTTTAGATGTGATACAAAAACCAAGCAAACAACTTTATCAGTAGTAAATACAAATAACAAGATGTTCTTTATTTATTATTAACTATAAAAGTAAAATAAGGCAAAAACTATGCCTAAATTGGTTACTGTTTCTCTGAGACTTGTGTTTTTTTTTAATAAGGGTACTACTGTTACAAATGGCAGCTGCTTTCAAATACAGAAAGTTACTTAGGAGTATTTTGTAATGCATAGTTCCTATTAAATTTATATGCCAGTTAGTCTCTCTTCTCACCACTGCCAGGCAGATAGGACTTCTGCTGGTTTCCTATGAACCAGGCATGCAGGCACTTCTCTCTTTGGTCAGCTTCAGAAGCCTCTCTGCTAATCTTTGGCTTAAGCCAGTGTTTCAGCTTCTGGAGGGCAAACTCAGTCTCAGACAATGATTCTTCGTGAACTGTTAAAACTAGCCTATTTATGTTCCAGGCCCACTGCAATTCAACCAGATTTGAGTGGCACATAATTCTCTCCCATCACCTGACTACTTTTCCTATCCAATGAGTGACCAAGGACTTCAAGCCAATCAAGGAAAACCCACTCTTTAGTGCTAAATTGGAGCAAATGTCAATCTGGAGAAAACCTGAATTCCCAGTTTGCTCTGACTAAGCACTAGAGAGCAGTTTTCCCTGGGGGTGGGGGGAAAGAGGAAGTGTGGATAAGCCCTAAGCAACCACCAGCCACCAATGGATACTTAGCATTTTAAACTTAACCGTTCACATGACCCCCAAATGCACAATATGGTAAAAGGTGATTTCTCCACAATTGCAGAGACATTGCTGCTTTCCCGCTGAAACACATGGCAAAAGATGTTTGTTGCTCATTGGGTAGTACAGATGTCTAGTGGTTGACAGCTGACTCATGGCACTTTATTGTTTCCAACCATTCTTCCCAGTTTGTTGGAGTTCTGGTTGTAACTGAAAATACACCTGCCTTTTGACACCGCCTTTGTACGTTTTTAGGACACACCTAAATTCTGTGATTGTAAGTTGTTTTAAGCTATTTTTAAATATTGTGTTTTAATTGTTGTAACCCGCCCTGCTGCTGCAGCAGCAGCAACAACAACAACTTCCACATCCCAGCCCCCAACTCTGAAATCTACAAGTGAAAGAGGGAGTTTTTGCAGTGGATTTGATTTGATCACAGCCCAAATGTATTTTTATTTCCATACCACAGAGAGTATCGCTATACTACAAATATTGGTTTGATATCATTTGAGGGGGGTTCCCTGAAAACTCTAGTTTGGCTCAGGTACTGAGAATTGTCTCTTTGAAGCACCTCCTTGCCTGCCACCCAAACTAGGCATTGCCTGAGAGATGTGAGATGTCTCCCAGTATGTGTGCTCATAAATCTAAAGTTGTTGTGCAAGTTTGCCTGTTTGAGAAGAAGGAAGAAGTGGAGGCTGCTGGACAAGGGGCTGTGTGGCCTGAAGGGCTAACTTAACCCTTTCCTTTCTTGCATTTGTCAGTTCGTGGAACTGTGCACTTGTAGGTTATTTGCACGTATTACTCAATTAGTGTACTGTCTGTGTACCTTTATTTCTTTAGAGCTTTTGTACTAAGCTCTTCAGCCAAAAAGGCTCTCTTGAGTGGTTTATATACCACCCATTAGAACAAGACAGTTCCTGTCTACAGGCTTACACCTCCCCCTTTTTAAAAGACATACAAGGGAAAAGGGACAAGGAGGGAAGAGGGAAAAAAGCAAACCCAGGTGCCAATTCCGAAATAACAGCTCATCTAATGACCAGATGGCATAGGAATAGTTCAGGGGAAGGAGGTGTGTGATGGAGCTGGAATGAGGCCTGCTTCTCATTTCTCCCACTGAGGCAGCCTGATGGAAAGGCTACCACTGGGTGGCAGTAGAGGGAGACGGTGCCCTATTGGAACAAATTTGAGTTTTCTCCAGATAGATGTTTGCTCCAATTTAGCACTAGAGAGAGTGGGTTTCCCCTGGGAAAGGAGCAGGATAAGGGGAAAACTGCTCAGATCCATACCTAGAAAGTGTGGGTCAAAGGGAAAACTGCTCATACCTGTGCTTTCTCAGCACGGGATGAGTGGAAGTATGAACGAGCCCTAAGTCCTACTTCCCATTTCTCCCACTGATGTAGCCTGATGGAAATAGCTGAGCTGTACACCAGGGGTAGGCAACCTAAGGCCCGAGGGCCAGATGCGGCCCAAGCACCTTCTCAATCCAGCCCGCAGATGGTCTGGCAATCAGCATGTTTTTACATGAGTAGAATATGTCCTTTTATTTAAAATGCATCTCTGGGTTATTTGTGGAGCATAGGAATTCGTTCATATTTTTTTCCCCAAAATATAGTCCGGCCCCCCACAAGGTGTGAGGGACAGTGGACGGGCTCATGGCTGAAAAAGGTTGCTGACCCCTGCTGTACACATTAGCAAGTGTACACAAATACTTGTATATGGGGTGTCAAGAATCTGGTGATAGAGGTGAATGGCTGCTTTGTGCATTCAAGAGCAGAATTAAATATTTATAACATTTCCTAAGAGAGTGTCACAAGACTATTTCTCTCCTAACCCCCTCCCCCCCTGCATTTGATACTATCGCCTAATAAAGGCTTGCAGAGCAACATTGCTCAAATTCCTCTTAATTTAAGAGTCACCTCAGGTCAGAGAGAAGTATTTCTCAATCCAGGTGTCAAGGTTCAAAGAGTTTATTGTGAAGGGAAGGAAAGAGATAGACAAGGAAATGCGGGAGCCCACATACCAGATGGGGCTCCTTTACTCACATGATGGGTGGGGAAGAGGATTTCACCACGGAGTTACGGAGTTACGTGCGTGTTACAAAAATATGTCACATGATACACAGTACAAACAATAAATAAAGTCATAAATACATACACTTGGCACCATGCTGGTAAATCAACTTCATGTCATGAAATAAACCAGGCCAGAATGTCTATAGCAGCTGAGATTTTGCATTGGTGAGAACAGCAAAACCCCATGAACAGAGGTAGCGAATGGTAGGTTTGGTGTATCTGATATATATGTTGTTGAAAGGAAGAAAAGGCCCTTGGGTATAGGGCGGTATATAAATTCAATAAATAATAATAATAATAAGTCCTGTGCCCCCCGAACATCCACATCATACATTTGAAGCACTCTTCTATCCCTTTAACAGTCATCATGGCTCCTCCCCCAAAGAATCCTGGGAACTGTAGTTTATTAAGGGTTCTGAGTCCACAGACCTACAGTTCCCAGCACCCATAAGAAACTACAGTTCCCAGGATTCTCAACGACTGGTATAAGAGTGTTTTAAAGGTATGGTGTGGTTGTATGTCGTAACAGACTTTTTATTCAGAAGCAAGAAAGAACCAGTTTATCCTGAGTGTGAGGCTAGCTTTCCTCCTCTGCCATATCTTTAGGCAGTATAATTCCCAGAGGGGGATAGTCTGGGCTTTAGACTATCCACCCCCATCTTTTAAGACACCGAGGATCAAACTGCACATGTTGTTAAGAGATCTGTCCAATTTCTGTGGTTCTCAAAGTTACAGCAACTGTGAAGCCCCCCTAAATTGGATCAAAACCACAGGAGAGATAAGGGGCAACCTTTCCTCCACTCCATATTCCCTGCTCTTTCCAGGAAGAGGTCTGCTCTACACAACACTGTGTTCAAGCATCTCTTGCCTACCTGTCAAGCTTTCCCCATGAAAACCCACCCCTTAAAGTTGAATGAGAGCAAACATCAATTCGGGTTTTCTGTGGATTGACGCTTGCTCTGATTGAGCTTTAAAGAGTGGGTTTTCACAGGGAAAGCTCAGGAGCATAAAAATGGTGCTCAGTTTTAAATCACAGACTGTGCCTGGAAAGAGCAGAGGAAAAGCTAAGTGTGGATAAGCCTAGAGTGTGTGTAGTCCCATCTACGTTTGGCTCTGACTCCCTGCACCCCTTTGACTCTGAGCCTGAAGGCTTTGAAAGATTACCTCAAGGGAATGCAACCTGCAACAGCAAAAGGTTGCCCATCCCTGCTTTAGTAGCTGTGTGACAGGCAGAAATCACATGGTTGACATGAATCATTAGGTTGTTTTTTTTGCTGCTGCATCACATGGTTGACACGAGACAACCATGTGATGCAGCAGCAAAAGAAGCTAATGCTATTCTGGGCTGCATCAACAGAAGTGTAGTGTCCAGATCAAGGGAGGTAATCGTACCACTCTGTTCTGCCTTGATCAGACCACAACTGGAATACTGTGTCCAGTTCTGACAGCCAAAATTTAAGAAGGCTATTGACAAGCTAGAACGTGTGCAGAGGAGGACAACCAAGATGATCAAGGATCTGGAAACCAAGCCTTATGAGGAACAGTTGAGGGAGTTGGGTATGTTTAGCTTGGAAAACAGGAGACTGAGAGAAGATATGATAGCCCTCTTTAAATATCTCAAGGGCTGTCACATAGAAGGTGGAGCAAGCTTGTTTTCTCCTGATCTGGTGGGGCATGGATCAATGGCTTCAGGTTACAAGAAAGGAGATTCCAACTAAATATCTGGAAGAACTTTCTGACAGTAAGAGCTGTTTGACAGTGGAACAGACTCTCTCGAAGGTGGTGGACTTTCCTTCCTTGGAGGTTTTTAAGAGAGGTTGGAATCCATCTGTCATGGATTCTCTAGTTGAGATTCCTTCATTGCATGATTTGGACTAGATGACCCTTAGGGTCACTTCAAGCTCTACAATCTATGATTCTTTGAAATCAACAATAGGTGATATTCTGTCCATTGCATCTCCTCCATGCTAGGAGGAAGGCCCACCTGCTGATTTCAGCCTGCTTGCTAGCGGCTAGAGGTGATGAACCCTGAGGGAGGGGGCTTTTGCTCAGTGAGATACAACGCATGCATGCAGAAGCTACCTGGTTGGACACCTGGAATTTATTGATAGGGATGGGGAATGTTCCCACCTGAAACCCTGGAGAGCTGCTGCCAGCCAGTCAGTAATGAGATAGATGGACCTGACTTGGTATAAAGCCACTTCTTGCACTGACCGGCTAAATGACAGCAACCCTATGACCTTTTCCTGGAGCTTAAGACAGATCTGAGCATGGATATGAACATAAGAAGAGTCAGCTATCTTAGGCCAATGGCCCACCTAGTTCAGCAGAAGAAGATCAAAAGAACCGTTCTTGGGAACTGGAATCCTGCCTGCATATCCTCACATTTTAAGGAGAGAGGTCTCTGATAGCCACAAGAGCAGAGCCACTTCCAGATTTGAGGGGTCCCCAGGCAAAATGCCTTCTGATGGGCCCCTGACATTAACCCTGCAACAAGCTTAGTAGTGGAGGGCAGCAGGAGTAGTGTGAACTGTGGTGAGTGGACCACAATTGTAACTACCCACATTGTCCCAATGGAGCACCACTCCATAGGCAGTTTAAGCCAGCAGCTTCCCAGCCACCGGATAGTTTTTTTGTAAGCCTGAGCCTGGGTTGAAGGAGGACCAACAGGGCCACAACATGTTTTAGCATGGATATGGCTGAGGATGCCAACTGAGTACTATCGCTGGGCATGCTCAGTGGCTGAGAAAAAAATATCCAGGTGTTAATCTTTCTGCTCCAATCCCTTGCAGCAAAACTTGTTTCTGGAGTGGAGGACTGAGTCCATGAAGAAAAACGTGACATAAATTTCAGAAATGGTAATGGGGATGGGATATCCCCTTAATTTCTGAATGCCCACAAATTTCTGTATCAGAAAGGCCAAGAAGGACTGCTTTAGCCGACAGTCACTTCTTAAAACCATACAGCAGCAGAGCTTGAAGTCTCCTTGATGGCCTCACTGGCAGTTCTGATGATCTCCATCCTCTTCCAAACTAAGCCTGCAGGATTAGCACAAAGGTCTCCCCAGGAAAAAGGGGCTGCCCTCCTTTTCCGGAGAGTCTACTCAGAAGATAGTAGCAAAACGACAGTGGCTATGATGATGGAGATGAAGCTAAGACTTCCAGCTGATGCTCCATTGATGGTGCTTCTGTTGTTCACCGTTGACCCATGGCCCTTGGTTTCCACACTGGTGAAAGTCAGCTCTGGTATCAGGCTGTGGATCCATGACTGATAGGATGTGACACGGGCATAAACACCAGGGCGATTCTTCTGTGCACACCCTTCTCCCCAGCTCACCACGCCTGCGAGGAGCCAGGAGTCCCCCATTCGGCAGGCTAGTGGTCCTCCTGAATCACCCTGTGCAGAGAAAACCCAAATAGATTATGGGAAATGCAGGCACAGGCAGTGGGCAGAGCAAGCCAATTGGCACCTGGGGCGGCGCGCGTGCCCTGCGCCAAGGGCCAGCCGCCCACGGGGCAGGGCAAGCCAGGGCAGGACACTCCACAGGGCCTCCAAGGAGTCTGCCTGCCTCCTCCCATTCAGCCACTCTACAGCTGAGGTGGAGGCGGTGGGTGGGGCAGCACGGAGCCTGTGGGTACCCAAGCCATCGTGTCACTCACAGGAGAGATACGTGGCTCGGGTGCGCTGCAGGCTCTGCGGTGAGTGCCGCCAGGCATTTTGTCACCCCCCTCAGTGGTGACACCTGGGGCGGCCCACCCCCACTGCATCCCTCTTCCACCGCCTCTGGGCACAGGGAAGGGAGATGATGCCCAAGAGCTATGGCAAGGGCAGTAGCTCAGTAGCAGAGCATCTGCTTTGCATTTGGAAGGTCCCAAGTTTAATGTCTAGCAGATTCAGGTAGGACTGGGAGGGAGTCTTATCTGAAACACTGGCGAGCTGCTGCCTCTCAGTGCAGGTGAGATTGAACTAGATGGACTAAAGATCTGGATGTACTAATAATGGACTAAAACTGATCTGGGTCTCACCTGGCAGGCATCCCGATGTCCAGCAGCAAAGCCAGCACATATCATGTCATTTTTAATGTCCTTTGTGAGTTTGAGCTCTCCGGAGTCTTGGTGATAGAGGGCATTGCATGTGTTTGTGCTGATTATGGGAACCTCTAGCTTTTGGAGTATATCAGAGGTTCGCTGTTTGTCTGAAACAGGAGCAAGATAAGAGAATCAGTGCCATTGTATAATGAAACATTAAAATGGTGATGCTCTGCAACCAAAGGGATTTCATTTCTGTCTCCCTGGAGTTATTGGAACAGACTGGGAATGATTGCAGACTGCATTCTTTGCAAATCCCTGTGCATGGACCAGGTCTTTGCTACCTACCAGATTTTGCATGTCACAGAATGGTCACTGCATTTATCAGAAATTTAGAGCTATGCAGATTGCAGATTTAAGTTTCAAAAGACTATATATATAAATATATATCCGCTTGAATATGTATTTTGAGAGAAGATACACTTTATAAATCCATTTTTTTAGAGGATTTCATAAAACAAACAAATTCAAGTACAAAATGGAATTATGGTTAAAATTATGTGAGTGACAGGTTCTAGACATATATCCCTGTTTGTATAATTGGCTTACAAGTTGTCACACATCACCCAAAAGATTTCAAAGAGAGACTCCTTTGTTAGCTGCAATTTATTTGCAGATCTGACACTAACAGACTTTGGATTCAATAGGGGATTAGGAATGGCTCACTCACCACAAAAGGTAATTGTCCCTGTTTAGGCATTAATGTACATTATTCATCTTGCTTGGCCAATTCATCACCAGTTGGAGCGTGTCACACCCACTCTTTTTCCTCTTTTGATGGGATCTCATTTTCATTTTTCTTGGCATACGATTGTGGCACACCTGTCTCTTAGATTGCTCAGCTTTCAGGCCTCGCTTTCTAAAGACATTCTGACACTCTATCATCTATCTATCATCTATCTCTATCTATCATCTATCTATCTATCTATCTATCATCTATCTATCTATCTATCATCTATCTATCTATCTATCTATCTATCTATCTATCTATCATCTATCATCTATCTGTCTGTCTGTCTATATCTATCTATCATCTATCACCTATCCATTCACACCTTGAGGGTCCCACACCATGCATCTGATGAAGAAGGCATGTGAAAGCTTCTGGCCCCCTAGATGTGCTAAGATGGAATCCTATTCACACACTTGCCAGGGCATAAGTCACATTGAGCTACATGATTTTTTTCTTCTGAACAGACTCATTGCATTGTTCATGTTTAAGGTGCCATTTGGTTCATTGTTTTTAATGAGAACTTATATTCTGTTGTTGGGAGCTAGACCATTAGGGTAGAGATTACATCCCCTGGCTTTCCCCCTAATGGATTTCTATTTTGTATCTATATTATCTTACAATTCATCTTTTGTAAGTTGCTATTCCCATTATACAATAGTGGTAGTAACAGTAACAATAATTAAAAAACAGTAGTAGTGGTAGTTTATTAATGCTTGGGCCATAGGCCATTCTCATATAAGATAAATAGGTACAATACAAAAACCAATAGTATAAAATACTGCATAAAATCACATTGCTACCTAGCAATGATAAAAATTACAAATATTTTATAGGTGATATAGAATATTTTTTTGATTATAGAATGCTCTTATGAACTAAGCTGGAATTATCTCTAGTTTGTTTCCCTTTTTGTCTTTCTCTTATTTTGGGGAAGCCTTTGTACTATGCTGCACAAATGAAAGCCCACTTGTGTTATGGCAGCCATAATTGTGTGCTCCTCTCCCCACTGCCCTTGGAACCAGGCATTCAGGAGGAAAAAATGGTTGCTACCAACCAAACTTTTTAAATAGCTTGACAACTTCTCTCCTTGCCTCTACCACTGGGCACAACTTAATTTGCCTTTAAGAGCTGTATAAATAAACAGAAATCCAGCAAGTAGAGCATTTCCTGACCTGCAGATGCTGCTACAGCTGGATTTCTTCACTTGCAGGACTTCTGCCTGTCACAAAACTGTTAGAGACACAGTAGCCAAAAATTACAAACTCCAGACTAGTCCTGCTGCCTTGTGTCTGTGAACTGCTATTGTTAGGGATTAACCGGAGAAATCAGAGAGAGAGAGAGAGAGAGAGAGAGAAGCTGGAGCATTATAGACTCAGACGTGCATAGCTAAGGTCTCTCACTCCCTACCATAAAGTATATATTGGTTTCATAACACTAGAACTGCCGGTTCTTTTTCCAGAAGGATCTTGGGAATTGGAGTTTGGTGAGGGGTGATGATTCTCTGTTAAAGATTCTTAACTCCTCCCACACCCAGAATTACAATTCCCAGGACTCCCAAGAAAGAGGGAATGGCTGTTAAACCACTTACAGTCTGTAGCATAAATTCCCCTCTAATGCAGCCTTCTCCAACCTGGTACCTTCCAGATGTTTTAGACTACTGTTCCTATAATTTCCTCACCATTGGCCATGCTGGGGTGGCTGATAGGAGTTATCCCCAGTTTGTTTCAGCAGAGGGAGTCGATCTGCTAAACGGCCTCGGTCCAGTATACCTGAAGGAGCGTCTCCACCTCCATCGTTCTTCCCAGACACTGAGGGCCTTCTGGCGGTTCCCTCCCTGCGAGAAGCCAGGTTACAGGGAACCAGGCAGAGGGCCTTCTCGGTAGTGGCACCCACCCTGTGGAACGCCCTCCCACCAGATGTCAAGGAGAAAAATAACTACCAAACTTTTAGAAAACATCTGAAGGCAGCCCTGTTTAGGGAAGCTTTTAATGTTTAATAGGTTATTGTATTTTAGTGTTTTGTTGGAAGCCGCCCAGAGTGGCTGGGGAAACCTAGCTAGATGGGCGGGGTATAAATAAATTATTATTATTATTATTATTGTTGTTGTTGTTGTTGTTGTTGTTGTTGTTGTTATTATTATTATTATTATTATCTCTCTCTTTTGAACCTACCTCTGCCTTGCACATCTCCCCAACCCGTGACCCAGCACATGTGTCCTGGGGGGAAGACGACATCGGAATCAGGGACACAGATGGGGACGATCCGTTGGGAGAAATTCACTGGCTTGTCCAGCTGCAGCAGAGCAATGTCTCCGGATTTCACATCCCCCTCATATGTAGGATTGAGGATGATACGTTTCACAGCGGTGGTGATGGAATGAGGACCAGGACTGGAGAGTTTCAGTGCTCCGAGCATCACTGTGAAGTTGGAAGGGGTGCTGAGCCTAGAGAGACACAATGGGGTTGAGGAGACAGAGAGAATGTCAGTGAATTCTTATCCTTAGGGTTAAGTGGATGGAACAGGTTAAGGAGTTGGGTTGTGTGAAACAAATCCCAATATTTCCCATTTTTAGTTTGCACCCCCAATTTAAAAAAAGTTCAATTTGATTTTTTTCAGCTGATCTTTCAGGATTATCTCTAGATAAATAAAACTATTAAGTAAACATTCAAAATAATGCTGTTATTTTAAAATAATGATTTAAAATAATTTTAAAAATCAGATAAACTCTATTCAAAAACTAGTTAAATAAGGAAGTTTTAGCCTGGTGCTGAAAGATTTTCAAGCTCATTGACAGGCATGCAGCCCAGAGAGGCATATTCCAGAACCAGGGAGCCACCAATGAAAAGGCTCATTTTCCAATCACCATCCACCAACGTTCTGAGGGTGGGGGCACCCAGTGAAGGGCGTCCGAGACACATCTTGGAGTATGGGCAGATTCCAGTGGAAGGATGTAGCACTTCGGTTCTTTTCGTTGCAACCTCCTTCAATTACTGTTGGGTTTAGAGATTTGGAGAGAAAAAAAACACCACCAATATGTAAAATGGTGGTGTAAAACTTCAGGCTTTGTGGGGGTGGGTGGGCTACTTCCACTGGCTTTACTTCAGTGCTTTTGCATGGCTGGAATGTGAATCATGAAACTCTCACTTGCCTGGATGGACAACAGGGAGATGTGTCTATATGCATATAAGGTAAAGGGACCCCTGACCATTAGGTCCAGTCGTGGCCGACTCCGGGGTTGCGGCGCTCATCTCGCTTTATTGGTCGAGGAAGCCGGCGTACAGCTTCCGGGTCATGTGGCCAGCATGACTAAGCCGCTTCTGGCAACCCAGAGCAGCACACGGAAATGCCGTTTACCTTCCCACCGGAGTGGTACCTATTTATCTACTTGCACTTTGACGTGCTTTTGAACTGCTAGGTTGGCAGGAGCAGGGACCGAGCAACGGGAGCTCACTCCGTCACGGGGATTCGAACCACCAACCTTCTGATCGGCAAGTCCTAGGCTCTGTGGTTTAACCCACAGCGCCACCTGCGTCCCTCTATATGCATATAGAAGCCTCCATTTTCAGTGTGGCTGCAATGCAGCCTAGTGTATAATGGTAAGAATCACAGCCTTTGCCTTGCATACTTTTGCCTTTGTTTCTCTCCTCGCTGACATGTGTCCCACCACAGGAGATTGTCCATGAGAGTATGAGGCCCTCAGACTGGTTCACCATCCCTGCTGTAAAGCACTGGGCTGGTCCAGCCCAAGTTAGAAACTTATATAGTACTGGAATCAGTAGGCATTTTTGGACTCAGTGCTGTCCACCAGTGCTGTCTACAGCTGTGCACAAGCCATTGACCAGCGCATGTAGCTTAAGTTCTTCATTTTGTTCCAAACAAGCCATTATCTGAAGGTTCATTCTTGGCTTCCTGCTTGCTGTTCTGCATCTATTTTCACACAGCTTTCGCTGAAATCGACGCATTGAAGCCAATGTAGACAAAAAAACCCCCAACCAACTGAATTAGGCCAGTTATGATAAACATTATTGTCCTGAGAAATCTGTGAGCATGAAGAGAGGCCCTTAAAAATGAATATTTCAACATTCAGCATTGAAAGCCGACTTTGTAAAATGTGTGTGAAATCTAATTTCAGTGATACTTGAGGGGTGGATGGGATTGGAAAGGCATACTTACACTTTAAAACAATGTGAGGCTGTGATGACCCACTGATCAGTGATGAGGGACCCTCCGCAGTGGTACGCTCCATCCAACCTTATGCTAACCTGCCAAGGCCATTCTCCATCCTGCGAGTCTTTCCCCCCTATGATCCGGTTTAGGATTCCCTGTTTTCCACATACTGAGGAAGATATCATTATTAGGACAGGTCTCTCAATGGCTATTAAGCATAATTGTTAAATAGAGCTTCTGTGTTCTGTTGCAGCGGACCAGTATATACAGCATACCAGTTGCTTACTAGTATAACTGTGCACCACTTGCTAGGGGACAAGGCAACACAGGATACTTCTATGGTCCCGAACGCATCTACTTGGCCGCTGTAGATTGTGGTGTGGTTCAGGGAGCCAGCCAGCCTGCCATGCCCCTTTACAGGCTACTCCATTCCATCTTCTTTTCCCTAAGTTGCATAAAGAATGGCACTCAGAGAACCAGGCTATGTGCACACCATACATTTAAAGTATCCGTCCTTGTAAGAGCAGCAGTTCCCAATACCCTTAATTAACTACACTTCTCAGGTTTCTTGGGTGGGAAATGTGCTTTAAATGTATGGCGTGCATGCAGCCTGTATCTCATGTTCATCTACAGGGTGATATTGCAATTTTAGGGTGCATGTCCTTGTGAGGCAAGCCACTAGTGCTATTCTAATTTGATAGTGTTATAGCAGCCATGATCCACAGGGCTCTGTGACCAAGACCACCCTTCTCCACAAGGAATCCTTATCTCTAAACATTTAATTGAATAATTTTCCTAATTAAAAACTCATTGGCTTCAAGCACAATAAAAGCATATAGAAATAGTACTCACTTCTGCTTGCATAACTTGGGTTGGCATCTGAAAAGAAAAGAAAAAGGGGTCAAAACAAAATCAATGTATTGGAACTAGAATCTAGAGTCACACCATGAAGGCTGCTGAACTATTATACCCCTGCCTAGGCTGGCTTTGGATCATCTGGGATGGGGCACCAAGGAATTTCTTTGGCAGTCTGTTAGTGCTGCTCCCAAATGCTCCCCTTATTACAGTTACCCAGCAACCCCAACACACTCTCTTTTGGCCCTTTCAAAATGGTGGAAAAGTTACATTGCACAAGCAAAAATCTTTGGACTTGCAGATCTGTTTTGTTGGATGGATACTGCCCATTATCTTGAAATTACTTGCCAGATGGTTATATTAAATATAAATATTGTGGCTGAGAGCTATACATTCATCCCCCATGACTAAAAATGTTGTTTTGGATTCAGAACTAGCCTGCGTTGGGCATTGTAATTGTTGCAGCTAAGATGTGCCTTCCTTGATTCTGCCAATGCATTTAAGGAACCAACCAAATACTCAAAACATGGCTCATCTTCCTGACTTTCAAGTCCATTCTACTCTGTTTGTGGTGAGAATGAAGTGAAAAAAGACAACACAGGCATTTAATCATCACATTAATTTATATCAACACAGGAAATTGTTTTATCCTAAGTCAGAACCTGGGGCATTTTGCAATCAAAACACATGCTCTACCATTGAGCTACAGCCCTTCAGACGATATACTGACAAATATATTTTTTTAAAAAATACTTCAAAATAAAGTGCTTTAAGAACGAGCAGTTGATTACACTTGTCACTAGTTCTATCTTTTTCTTTTTTTTGGAAAATTCTAACGTAATCATCTCCTGTTTGGGTTGAAAATATAGCCTGCCTGTAAGACCTTGGAACTGGGCCCTCTAGAAACTCAGATTCAAGATGACTAATTTTCACTAAAGCAGTTAAGGTCTTGCAAAGTCTGCTTGCCACACATCGATCAGCACCAAGTGGCAGCTCTGGTTTGGCAAATGATAACTTGATTTCAAGATGTATTGTAAACAGTTTGGTAATCTGACACCTCAACTTTTGAAACAATTATTTGAATTATATTTCATGGATCTATTTTTCTAAACAATCATTTCTAATCCATTTTCACCTCTAAATACCGCTACTAACAGCTTACAATACCCTAAGCCAATAAAATCATTAAACAAACTAAAACATTATAAGTAAAGCTTAAAAGCAAAGACATATAGAAATAAAAACTTCAATTTTGTAATTAAACCCCACTGAAATTCAGATGAAGTAAGGCACTTTTTCTGCCCACCTAAAAGTCATCTGGGTGGGACTAATCTAACTTTTCTTGGGAGTGAATGCCGTAACCAGGATGCTTCCAAAGAAAATACTGTTTCAAGTTCCTATTAGCCAAGTCTCTTTAGGTGGTGAGAGAGAAGAAATGAACTTTGATGATAATTGTAACCCTTGGGCAGGCTCATACAGAAAGAGACTGTCTTTTGGATAATCTGGTCCTAAACCATTTATGACTTTATAAATGATGGCCTAGGTCTTGCAAAGTTGACATGGTTTGCTTTGTTCTGGAAAACTTAGCTCAAGCAAATCATATCTTAATTTCAATTGATTGAGTTTATAAGAAATTTAGGAATGCATATCCTATTGTCCAATGACCAGGCTGATCCAATGTGGGGAAGTCCTCTCATTCTTCAGGGCGGAATATAAAGGGCCAACAAGCCAAATGAGGCTCATTCTTACAGTCTTTCACAATGCAATTCACCACCCATCACACAGTTTTTAAGTTGGTCCCCAGGACAGGCATTGGTGGTAGGCCCTCCTGCTGAGGTGCTGATCATCTTCCCCAGATTACTGTGTGGTGATGTGGGGTGGGGGGTCCAGTGTGCCCCCTACTGGTGGTGTGGAATATTAACTCATGCAGAAAAATGTTCCACTTACCCATCAACACCTGCAGAAGCATCAGTACCGTCAATCCCATTAACCTTCTTTTTCCCCCTGGCACTTGTCCTTGATGCCCCATATTGCTACAGCTTTCTTCTTCTTCTTCTTCTTCTTCTTCTTCTTCTTCTTCTTCTTCTGCTTCTGCTTCTGCTTCTGCTTCTGCCTTTTTAAATTGATTGTAGGTAAGCAGAGGTAGAAGAATGCACTATTTCAAGAAGGAGCATCTGAGACACACTTTACTATTTATGTGGTGCAAGCTTTGGGTGCTTATATATGGCAGCCCAGGAGGGCGTATTCACACTGGGAATGCTGCCAGATATGGGAGTTTGTCAGCTGGGAATGTTACGAAACCTGTTGGGTAAATGCTGCTTGATGCTTCTCACCTGCCTCCTTCCTTCCAAATGTCTTCATTTCCCTGTTTCTAACTCTATTGCATATCCATTTCCCTGTTTCTCATGACTGCTATGTAGCCTTTCTGCCAGAATCCTTCCTTCCCACTCATCACAGTGGTTTCTGCATGCACCATAAGGTCAACTCTCTCTGTCTTCAAACACATCTCTACAATGTTCAGTCTGGTTTTCACTCCCTGCAGCTAGGAGTTCGTGTATTCCTTCCAGTTTTCATGGGAAAGTGCCCACACAGTGTCATTTCAGCTATACCTTAACATGTTCTAACCCACCTCAACATTCAATAGGGGTGGTTCATGGGTGGACCTCAAAGTCCACTGTTAGAATGGTGGGAGAGGTACCGGTAGGTAGGTGATGATGGTGTTCTCATCTGTGTTACTGATCAAGCCTATTGCTGACCAGTGTGTTGGGATGCGGGTGGTGCTGTGGTCTAAACCACTGAGCCTCTTGGGCTTGCCGATCAGAAGGTTGGTGGTTTGAATCCCCATGATGGAGTGAGTTCCTGTTGCTCTGACCCAGCTCCTGCCAACCTAGCAGTTCGAAAGCACACCAGTGCAAGTAGATAAATAGGTATTGCTGCAGCACTCTGTGCGCTCTGGTTTCCATCACGGTGTTCCATTGTGCCAGAAGCGGTTTAGTCATGCTGGCCACTTGACCTGGAAAGCTGTCTGTGGACAAATGCCAGCTCCCTTGGCCTGAAAGCGAGATGAGCACCACAACCCCATAGTCACCTTTGACGGGACTTAACCATCCAGGGATCCTTTACCCTTAAAAAAAAAAAAGGACAAAAACAAAAAACCTTTTTACCTGTATTTATAAGAGTATTGGACCAGGATTTAAATCCGCACCCAGTCTATTGGGTGTTCTTGGACTAATCATTGTCTCTTAGCCTATGCCACCTTACTAGGTTGTTGTGATGATAAAATGGAGAGGGGGGGGACCATGTATGTAACCTGGAGCTTATTGGAGGAAAAGTGGGATATACATGTAAGAACAATGTGCTGTGTTCAGTACTAATCCTCATCAGAGTAGAACCATTGAAATGAGTGAACATGAGTAACTTAGGCCCATTAATTTTAGTGGGCCTCCTTTGAGTAGGACTAGCACTGAATACAACCCATAAATATGATATGACATTTTGCTGCAATAGATGGACAAGATGATGTCCTTCTTCATTCCACACACAGCTGACTAGATTGGAAGTTGAATCTCATTTCAGCACCGGCAGTGGGACAGCATCCACTACACTTGAAAGCTGCAGGCTAGTAAGGGTGCAGGCACACATAGAGTGAGATGTGACTAATAAATCCCATCAGTGGAAGTCTGCACAATGGGGCTTCCTCCTCCTCCCCCTGCTCCCTCCAAAATTGGCTCTGGCAGGGTGGGGGAATGCCCAGAACTTCAAAGGGTGGGGAGAGGGGGATATGGAATTGTTCCATTTGTCAATATGAAATCCTTGCTCTGATGGAACGATAGACATAGCACAACACAGAATTCCTCCCAAAGCTCTGCCCTCCAACAGAAGAGAATATCCAAGGGTTCTGGAGGAACAGCACCTGCAGCCTGAGGCAACCACCTCACCTTGCCCAATGGTAGGGCCAACCCTGTTACTGATTGTTTGTTAACGTATTTGCAGATGATAAACACGGCATTGCCCAAATAGTCTTATGCCCTCCCAAATATTCTGAAAAATTAATCCTGTGTGTTGACTCCAGTAATTAATACAGTGGTACCTGTAATTAATTAATTAATACAGTGGTACCTCAGGGACGTGGGTGGCACTGTGGGTTAAACCACAGAGCCTAGGACTTGCCAATCAGAAGGTTGGCGGCTCGAATCCCCACGACGGGGTGAGCTCCCGTTGCTCGGTCCCTGCTCCTGCCAACCTAGCAGTTCGAAAGCATGTCAAAGTGCAAGTAGATAAATAGGTACCGCTCCGGTGGGAAGGTAAACGGTGTTTCCGTGTGCTGCTCTGGTTCACCAGAAGCGGTTTGGTCATGCTGGCCACATGCCGGATCCCCCGGCCAATAAAGCGAGATGAGCGCCGCAACCCCAGAGTCGGCCATGACTGGACCTAATGGTCAGGGGTCCCTTTACCATTACCTCAGTTTAAGAACAGCCCTGTTTACAAACAATTCGGTTTACGAACTCCACAAAACTGGAAATAGTGTCCCAGTTTGTGAACTTTACCTCAGTCTAAGAATGGAATCTGAATGGCAGAGGGGCACCGGCGGCAGGAGGCCTCATTAGGGAAAGCGCGCCTCAGTTTAAGAACAGTTTCGGTTTAGGAACGGACTTCCGGAATGGATTAACTTCGTAAACCGAGGTACCACTGTATGCTTTGTTTTTAACTACAGTTTTTTTCCCCATTCTGATTTTGTTTTGCTGTTCTTTTTATTGAATCTTTGTAAAAAGCCTTGCATGTTGGGGGGGGGGGAGGAGAATGCATATATCTTCCAACATTCACATATTTTAAAGGTATAATAACCTGTGACACGTGTTTAGTTATGGAGCGGCCTAATTCAGCAATGAATTACCATAATATGTACTTTAACTATACCAAATGTTATCGACAAATTGCCACAAATTGAACCCCAAGTTTTGTTTTTTTGTTCCAATAAACCAATAAAATATATATTTCAACAAAGAAGTAGTATCAATTGTCTTGAAGTCCAGACTGCAGATAAGAGTTATGATGGATTTCAAAATTACTCCAGTTTAACAGGGGTAGTTGCTGTTTAAAAGATTGTATTGGTATCACACTCCAAAAAAGTAGTCTGGAAAGCTGCATGGGGAACGTTTGACCTCACAGTGTTAAAAAAACAAAAACAGAAAAGAACAAAGTTGAAGTAGATCATCTGAAATCAAGTGACTTCATTTACTCATGGCTAGTGCTCACTGGTTTCAATACATCTAATTTGAGTTGCCTACAACCAGGGCTTTTTTTCAGTTGGAGCTCAGCTCTAGCACCTCTCAGGTGGGTGCCATTGCCATTCAAAGAGAACAAGAGAGAAGCTCTGGTGGGCTCTGGCACTACTTTTTCTAGAAAAATAGCACTGCCTACAACCCAAAGTAAACAATGGAAGGGTTCCAATGTGTCTTGATTTTTCATTGACACCATACCATTAAAATATGTCACTTCCCCTCCCCCCCAGAATCATGGGAACTGTAGTTTGTTAAGGCCTCTGGGAATTATATCTCTGTGAGGGGTAAACTGCAATTCTCAGAATGCTTTGGGGGAAATCAGATGCTTTAAATGTATGGTGGTGTACACCATACACCTGTCTGGAAGTGTAGATTATCAGGAATAGAACTGTTACATTATACCTCTATAGCTATCTAGAGTTATAAGGTGGTACCTCGGGTTAAGTACTTAATTAGTTCTGGAGGTCCGTACTTAACCTGAAACTGTTCTTAACCTGAAGCACCACTTTAGCTAATGGGGCATCCTGCTGCTGCCGCGCCGCCAGAGCACGATTTTTGTTCTCAACCTGAAGCAAAGTTCTTAACCTGAAGCATTATTTCTGGGTTAGCGGAGTATGTAACCTGAGGTACCACTGTAATGTACTTTCCGTTTAAGCAAATAAAAATAAGAGTGGACCTTTGTGTGAACATCAGTTCATGGAGTTTCCTTCCTCATAAAACACAATGCCACAATTACATGGACATTTTTGATCTGACCTCTGCACTTATTTATGCTAGAGCGTTGCTGGCCTGGCTCATCTCTCTGCATGCTTCAGTTGACCACACCAATCTCTTTGTAAATAACAGCATCTGGATGCACTTGATGAGGATTGCAAGCTGAACTGAAAACTAGAGAGGCAGGGATCCTCCTGACAGAAACCCCCCCCCACTTTTGTTTTTTGCAAAAATAAAAATAAAAAAAGGAAGTAGGAAGAGCCTCCTCGTTCCTTTCTGCCACCCACAGCAGTCCAAGAAAACTGTGGGTAAGTATTATTCACTCACACTTTTTCATGTTTCTGTGGAAGACCCAAAGCAGTAGAAAGCAGTGTGCAAGTGGTGAAACCTTCTCCATTACAGGTTTCTAAAGAGATGCTGGATGGCCACCTATCAGGGATGGTGTTGCAGCAGCAGATTTATTGCACCAGAAGACGGCTGGACTAGAGGACCTCTGAGATGCCTCCCAAATCTATAATTCTGTGTATCCCCCACCAACAGGGGCAGCCAAGCCATCACAAGAGACAGGGGAATTGGAAGCACAAACGCACACAATTTAACACACACAGGATTATCTTTTAATAGCTTCATTTCTACCAGAAGGAAAAAATAATAATTCCAGCCAGGTTATTCAGCTCTCCTTTGTGTGATTCAGCCCTTTGAATATTTATGCCTGTTCAACTGGCAAAGGGTCTATGTGGAAAGATGAACTTGTAAGCTCTGGGTGTGGAAATACATTAAGAAAGAAGTTTTCATGACTGTCTTCTCCAGTAAACAGTTCAGGGGTGATTCATTGAGGGAAACATCTATTGCTGTTTCTCATGTCCTGAGCTTTACAAAATCAGGACAAAAGTGATGTCATGAGATTCTAACCATGAATCATGCCCCCCGCCCCCGCAAATGACCGAACACAAAAATGAGGTCACAAAAAACAAAAAACTCTCAAGGCAGA